TTAAAGAATGATACAAGTAAAATATAAGTAGATTCTAAAAATATATATCAATAACTGATCAAATAATCTTATAGTAATAAATATTTGTAGTATTTTTAATTTAAACCTTTATTTATTTCCAGCTTAATTAAAACAAAATAAAAATTAGTTCTTTTAACTTATTTCTAATTTATTCTTCTAACTTATTTCTAACTTATTTGAATACAAATTGTTTATATTACTACTTACTTAAATCATCATAATATAATTTTTATATTATGATGATTTAGATAAGTAGCCAAAATGAACTCTATTAAGGATTGTTAATAGATTGAAAAATCGAATTTATGCTTCAAAAATAATGATGCGTATTGATATATATTTTTAATTGCAATGCATATATTAAATAATATTAACTCTAAATCTAAAATTTGTATAAGTACGCATAATTTTAGATTTTTAATATTATTGAATATACGTTATTTCTTTAATATTTATAGATTGATATATAAATATATACATAATAGTTTGTGTACATATTACAGACATGCTGGGTTTTTTTAATCTGACAAACATTTTTTATGTTATATTTTTTTATAAATCATATTTTTTATAAATTTTGTACATTAAAATCGACAATTACATATTACACTCTTATCGTTTATGTTTTTTAATGCTTATTGTTTTTTTTAAACGAATATAATAGAATAAACTAAAATTTTATAAGTTTTATAGAGAACTAATTTATTTTTGAAAGATAATTTCTTCTTTAGTGTCTTTTCTTAGAAAAAATGTTAAAGAACAATTTTCAAGTTATGAGTAAATGAGTAAAAAAGAAGAATCTTTTAGTAACTAATCCTCGGAACCTTAAACAAATAAGATAATCATATCAAACATTTAATTTCAAGTGGAATTTGCTAATTTTAACTTGAAATGTAATCACAAAGAGAGAATCTATAACGTACAAATTAGAAAGTGTGTTTTATAATAAATGAAGGCTTTTCTTGATATTTTTAGTATTAGCTAAATAATCTATGTCGACTCAAGCTTTTAAAGAATGATTAGCTTTTAAAGAATTTCTCATTAAAAAGATCTTCGTTAGTCAAAACATATTATATAGTTGTAAATCAAGAGGCGTGCTTTACATCAAGCAAAATACAATAAAATCAACCGCGTGCATTTATGTCATGCGGTTGGTTACTAAATTCAGACATGATTATTATATACCGCAATAATGACGGAACTAATTTAAACTTCAACTTAATGCAAAAGATTTTTCAAGTCCAAATTCATTTTGAATAAAATCCTTTTGCTTTATTATTAAATATTTTATTTATGCGAAATTATATTATAATATTAAGAATATAGAACAAAGTATTTCCTTATATGTAATATAGAATAAATATCTTGCTGCATTTTGGCTGTACAATTTTTCACGTCACATCGTATGAGAGAATTATATGGTATGTATAATTTTCCTAAATCGGCACAAGTTTCTTATATTGTTATTATTACTTTTATATAGAATAAAAAATTTAAACAAGAGACAATTATAAAATATCTCCCTCTTGTTGATATAATAAAGTAACATTTCTTTGTACAATAGTTTCTCTCGCGTACTGATTCTCTCATTTTTACCTTTTCTATTTGAAAAGTTCGATGTAACGCTGAAACCTGTCGATCAGTCGCACATCCATGCTGCGTCATGGAACGAGATTGCATTGGTCCCAATTGGTCCCGGCTTTGAACGTTATTCCCGATTCGTCCTTTGAGCCGGTTGACGTCTGAAATCGTATCATGCAACGCCAGGCAGAATGCGGCACGCACCCGAAATGTTGTAAAATCGGTTTAACCTCCCTGTCGGGAGGGCGCGACTTCGAAAAAAAAGAGACACTTTGCCAAGTAGCCAGGCGGTTCTAATAGTGGCAGTGCTTGTTATTCGCGGTGAAATTACTCGTACCACTCAGCAAGATTGAAGGAAAGATCTTTGATATACCGCGATTCCACCACCCTCACCTGAATGTGATATTTCGCGTCTGTCGCGCGGCTAGACGAGCAAAGCGAATCTTTTTGATGTGCGGCGTGGCGCGTTGCAATCCCAGTCGCATTTGCATCGCACCAGCCGACGAATGAAATTTTCATCGCTGATTTACGAGATCAAAAGTATCTTCCATAATGATATGTGTACATGTATCGGTATAACATTTCTCGCAAGATATCGTACGGAATGTACAAATAGAATACAAGTAAAATGATATGTTTTTCTTTTATATATTGTGTGTGGGTGAAAATAAGTTATCTTAACTCTAGAATGCTATCAATATGTAAATTTTACAAGAAAGTGAGATGGTTGAACGCAAAGTTATACTTTCATTAGTTATTAAGAGATTTAATCTGTCATGCTAAAAACAAGCGAAAATCATCTAAAAATTCTGTCCATTATATTATATATTAATTTGAACTTTCTGGTGATCAATATTATAATAGAAAGCAACAAAACTAATTTCAGTGTTTTACTAAGTAGTTTTGTATTATTTTGTATTATTATATATTTAACCCTTAAGTAGACGCACTGACAAACTTACATAGCGATTGAAGTGACTCTGGAACTTTCCTCTGCCAAGAAGGCTAATCGGATCATTCAATTCATTTTTTATTCATGATATTGTGATCCCTTTTAGGCGGGTTTGAAGTCTATTCAAGGGATTAAGAAGAAAAAATGGCTCTAATCTTACTATGCACTTACTTAAATATATGAAAAGACACATATACAATTATACTACATATTATTTTATCGTTAAAAGCATGGAATATATGAAAAATTCATTTACATTAATTAAGAGTGGTCTATTTTCTTGATATATAAAATTTACGATAGCAACTTATCACTCAATTTTCAATTATATTTCTAGGGTTGACATATCTCGATTTTTTAGGATAAGATTAAAGTTATTGATCTAATATTAAATTCTATAATTAATAGATATTATAATTTATTTTCATTTTTTAATAAGTAAAGAGAACAATGAGCTCCAGGCATTTATATCTTACCAAACTCATTGCTCTTTTTATTATTCATTTAATTTCTTTTTCTAATTTTAGATATTTATTTTTTATTTTATTTTTGAATATTGAGAATAACAAAAAAGTTTTATATATTATATGTCTTAGAAATGTTACACACAGTTTCTAAAGTTTAATTTTACCAAAGAAATCCCCCACACAATGCAATACGTCTATTATTCGACAATCGTATAACATTTCAAGTTTTTCTCACGTTGAAACGCGAAACTAAAATGATAGTTCGTTTCGTCAAGCGATATTAGTAAAATTTTGGTAAATTCATAAATTCCTTCATACATAGAAAAATCAATCATTGGAATAGATATAACGGAAAATAAATTTTCGATATAAACGCAAAGTGAAATCCGTTAATTGCGGTTTCTTGAGCATAAGATTATTTAAAATTGCTGTAGAAGAGTTAAAAAACGGATGGTTTTATAAAGATTAAATGCCGAATATTATTTCAGATATCTTTGGATATTTCGAAATATAAAGAACAGGCGGAAGAGATAAGTGCGGCATCGTTATCATTCCGCTTGCAGCCGCGGTTTGCTCGCGGTGAAATCGGTAACGCTATCACGTACGGGAGCATTCCTGATTCCGGTGGCCACGGCGGTTTCACGTCATATCCAGACGAAAATTGGGAAATGCTCCTAATTTTCGTCGGCGCAGCCGCGTGCAACATTTCATCGCTAACGCTAGACCGATGCTTACAACAGTACATACCATCGCAAGCTGATTGCGCACGTTTCGCATTATCGCGCGATCATTGGGGAATAACGTTTGCCCTGTGCTCGTTGGCTGATAATCGCGTCCCGCGAGATTGGCGAGAATGAACACAACTATGAGAAAGAATATCAAGTGATGAGATATAATTGCAACACATATTTAATTTTACTAAAGAGGTAATTACCTCGTGGTTTAAATTTAATTGTTTGTCCGCAAATTTCTACATCATTCGTGTTATTATGAATGCGAATATGCAATATATGTCAAGTGAACTTTAGGGAATTATTATGGAACGATAAAAAGCAACATAATGACAGTTTATTTTATATGTAGAAAGAGGAAGGGAATTATAGAATATTTTGTTTTATAGAGAGAAATATAATATACACAGTAGATATTCATGTGACATATCTACTTTTAATACAAATTTGTTAGCCACAGAGTGACCAATTATGCTTTAGGAAGAAGTTTTTCATATAAATAAATTCATATAAATAACAAATAAATTTACAAAAAAATAGAAGAGAAAAGAAAAGAAAAAGAAGAAAAAAGATTGTAGTTATAGAATAGGAAGGAAATATGGAATTATCAACTAGTATACAGTATATATAATTTTGCATGTATGATACATGCGCATATTTTGTTATCAAATTTAGTTCAATTATATCATTTGAAAAATCATATTTAAGGCCTCCAAATTAGACTAAAGTTACAAATTAGTATCAACATACTTCTCGTGAAAATTACGTGAAGAGTACATAGTTATAGTTATATTACTGTCTGCTATCTGCAAAATTACTGCAGCTTTACAGTAATACAGTACTACTAATATTATATTAATAATTAAAATTAGTGGCTATGTTACAAGTAGACAAAGAAATAATTTTGATGGATGTCTCCAGAATGCACTGTAAACTATACAAGCCTAGATATATCGTGATATTTCACAACTAACTTTCCACTTTTAAAACTGGCTCCTTTCTTTCAGGTATAATAATAACCAATAATAATTTCTAATACTGTATACGATTGTGTACAAGATTTGAACCAGACGAGAAAAATATTTTTCCTCTATAATTTTCTGGACTCAATATATCCTTGACAAAGGAATCAAAGATCTAATAGATTTTAAGAAATGGACAAAGAATAACGTCCTTATAATTACAATGCTATACAGAGGAAACAAAAGATCGTTCTTTACACCAAACGTCCGAATCGATCAACGCCTTCTGAAAATAAACGTGACAGAGTTATACGGGTGATCTCTCAATCTCGTCAATGGATTCTTTAACGTCACACTTTCAATCGACGTCTCATGCGCAACGTGTACGGAACGATAGGGTAGAAAGGAGAAGGATAATACAAGCGGGTGGAAAACATATACATGCACACAGACAAGTATGAACACACAGCAGGATCGCGCGGGGAACGCAAGGTCGGGGAGGAAGAAAAAGCGGGCCAGGGGTTTTCGCCCGAGGCCGTGATATTACGTAATAAATCATCCGAATCTCTCGCAGTGTCATACAATATGGGCCCGTGCAGGTGAGCGACGTCTATACCAATTTTCATTCCAGGCGACATTCGACGTTCTCGCACCGTACCCTGGCTCTTTCAACGTGCACCCTAGTACTCCAGCCGGCTCTCAGCCAATTCTATAACCAGGCTGCGCTTCCGTTGCCGACCGGAGATTAATTTCGTTCTACGTTCTTCCCCAGGCTCGTATTTCACGCGGTCGGGCGTCGACGAATCGCGACGCTGCTGCGAAACTCGCTAACAAAATTCAGCCTTCCAACTTTTCACCGCGCTCTAAACTGAGATGTGTGGTTTAGAAAAATATCCAAAATGCGCATATCTTACCTTTAATAATCAATCTAATTAATCATATATACTCACTCAAACATAACAGAAACTCTATTAATAATACTTTATCTTTTAAATTTTTGGATATTATTAATTTAACATATATTTTAAAAATTCTTTCTACGCACATTAGAATGAATCAAGATTTATTTTTAAAGCATATTCTAGGAATCTTTGTTAATTATTTATCTATTATTTTATAAAAATTTTTATCTTCCCTACAATTTCTTAAAATTAATTATATATTTATTTTAAAACAATAAGGGCAATAATTGAATTTTTATGTGAGAACAATAACTTATATATAGTCAGTTAGTGCAATTTAGTTTGACTATTCACGTAACCGATGGTACAATTTAAACGGTGCATTGATCAAAATTAAATACCATGAGATAGCTATTAATGCTACCGTTCTGGTATTTAATCCATTTTATCATGGCGCTCAATTAATAAACATCATTCAAACCGCTCGCAACAACGTTTAGTGTAATCATTATATAAATAGTATATAAAGGATTAAAGCTATATCTCGCGAGAAGCTAATTCTATATCATTTTAAACAAATTAATCGTAACGTTTAACGTTGAAAGCTGATATGTGTACCTACATACCGTGAAACCGTATGTGACTTACGGATTTATTTCATCCATTTTATAAAAATTTGCAAGTTTCAAAGATAAAATGAATAATATTCAATTTTGGTATTGTAGTGAATTAATTATATTCTCACATTTATATAATCATTTTTTACGGTCATCATAAATATTCCATACCGATGCAGAACCGAGAAAGTGCAGAAACTTTCAAATGATATGAATCTAGAAGACGTTATTAAGCAAAGAACACCGGATTAAATAAATATTCTATTAAAACATGTTATTCTTAAGTAAGTTGAAGTATAAAATTATCAAAAATTTCACGTGCCTTTTATTCATTGGTTTGTTAGCTCTCTTTATTGTAAAAAGTATATTTTTATCTCGATATTGAAACATTTATACAAGGTAAGCCGTGCATGGTCGATTAAGTTAAATACTTTTAGCATAAAAGACTTATTGAGTTATCATACAAATCAAGTTATCGTATAAAAAAAGATGTTAACCGTGAACGTTATCGACCGTGAACGATATTAAATATCGCATGTGCGAAAATAATAAACGTTTAACTGTTTTAATAATTTGTTGAACTGTATTGATAATTATGCCATGCTAACATATAGGTCAGAAAAACAATATAAAGAGGGTATCGGTCAAGAACGAACAAAAATTGAAAATCGAAAATTTAAATAATAATAAACAATTTTATTCTCTAATGATTTAGAAAGACAAGGACGTTTCGACTTATCTATTTAAGTTTCATTAAGATAAATATTAATCCAAATAATAATACAAATAAAGATATTAATATTAATGATATTAAATATAAGGTTAAAATTAAGAATATTTTAACGTTAATTAAAGTGGGTAGATAATAAATGAATGAACGGAGTACAATTTTTTTACAAATGTCCATGTCTTTTT